ACGATTAAAGCGGCCAATCCATCACCGATAGGTGGTTGTCTTGAAACCACTGGTTGACTACTTTTGCAGTGTGTATCGGATCGTTGTCTTGCTGAAAAACCCATTTTATTGGCATATTCCATTCAGCATGAGGTAACATAACATCGTTCAGGATATTTTTATACATGAAACGGTCCATTATTCCATCGATTTGATGTATTGGACCTAGACCGTTAGCAGAAAAACAACCCCAAACCATTAGATTACCTCCACCATGCTTCACGGTCTTATGGCAGTAACGTAAATCGAGGCGTATTCCGGCCGGTCGACGTACACGGCAAATGCCATCGCTCCCAATGATATTGAACTTCGATTCATCACTGAACAGGACAGTTCGCCATTTCTGCACATTCCAGTCAATATGAGATGTAGCAAACTAGAGCCTTTTCTTCTGATTCTTTAGTGAAATCAGCGGTTTCTTTGCAGGGCGTTGAGAAAACAATCCGGCTTCAACAGCACGTTTTCTGATTATTCGGTCCAATACAGGCAGCTCTAATTGCTTTTGTATCTCGACTGATGATATCCAGGGATCCTTCTTGACGGATTTGACGATCATAGAATCCTCTCTAGAAGTGGTGGAACGCGGTCTTCCACCTTTGTTATCTGCTGCCAACTTCCCCGTAGAACAGTTTTTGGAACATAGTCTTGATACGGTCCATTTTTTCACGCGATATTTATCACAAATACTTTTTTGTGACATTCCACTTACGTAATCGCCAATAATTTTCTTTCTTAGTTTCAATCCAAGACTGTCGGGAGCCATTTTTGCACTTGAAGTCATAAAAATAATAAAAATAAATAATCACGCTTCTCAAGGCTTACCGTCTTACATTTACCTAGTGATGATACAATAATGCTCTGTGAAACACAACGTCTTGGTTGGATGTGGACTGTATTGATGTAATGAAACACTTGTTGTATTTCACTTCTTGTATTGATGTTCTTCGATAAAACACTTTGATAAAACTCACTTCGATCAACTGTCTTGATAATACTGATTGACTTCCATATACTGACTGAATTACATGTCGGTTTACGTGTCTCTTATATAGTAAAATGAACCTGTGTGAACCTGTTCTGAAAGATTCTAGATGCTTCTTTTCGATGCTTCTGGAAGCTTCTGGATGCGTTTAGATGCTTCTGAATGTTTCTGGATACTTCTGGATGCTTCCAGATGCTTCTTCTAGAAACTTCTAAAAGCTTCTGCATGCTTCTGGAAACTTCGTGATACTTCCTTTATTTATTAAAAAACTTCCGTGACGTTGACACGGACCAGACTTAAGAAAATGAAACAGACCAAAAAAAATGCACTTGTTTTGTCCGCTGTAAAATGGCACTTGTCAACGAAATTCTATCTGTGTGCTGTCACTTGTCAGCTGATTGCTCATATTATGGCATGCTATGACTCCAGACTCCTGAACTGTTTGCTGTGGTAGTATAGTTCGTTTCGTTTTTAAGACATGTAAAATTAGGAACACTATTTAGCATTGTTCGATGTTGGTTGCAAATGTTTTGTCTAATACTGTGTAAAAGTATTTCTTTATTATTATCTTGAATTTAATTAGAATACAAGAGTGATAAAACCAATAATAAAAAAGTGTGCAAAAGTATTAGTGCACTTACAGTTTTTCAAAGATTTTAGGAAAGTTTAATATTTTATGTGACCACCTTTGTTTTTAAGGCATGCCAAGACTCTACGCGGCATAGAATCTATAAGTTTTTTGATTAGCTCTTGTGGTACGGTATTCCACAACGCTTGCATTTGCGTTTTAAGCTGCACAGAGTTAGTGGGTCTGCTTTTTTATAATTTGCAGTCCATCTAACTCCAAAGATTCTCAATAGGATTCAAATTAGGTGAGCGAGCAGACCAAGGCATCAGGTTCAACCGTTTTTCATTCATGTATTGCTTAATTGAGCGTGCTGTGTGGCAAGAGGCGTTATCTTGTTGAAATTGCCAGGTGGAGTCAGCATGGAAAATGTCCATTGATGGCTTTAAATAATCTTTTAATATCTCTCTATATCGATGTTGATTAATGCGATCAGTGTAAAGATGCACCAGGCCATTGCTAGATCCAGCAATGTAGCCCCAAATGCCAACTGAACCTCCTCCTTCTTGAACTCCTGACATGATAATTTATTATATTTTTCGTTTTTGTATCTCCTCACAACAACTCTTTCTTTGCGATTAATAAGTTCAAAATTTGACTCGTCTGAGAAAATACTTTTCTTCATTGCTCTACAGTCCATGCAGCTCTCTCTTTGTACCATTTTCTTCGCTTGAGACGGTCTTTGATGTTTAGTAGTGGCTTCTTTGTTGCAAGGTATGAATTGAGTTGTTTTTTCTTCATCAGCTTGTTAATTGTTGATCGGCTGACTTGATGTGTACCCATCGCTATATTCAAGTCTGAGGCAATTTCAGCTATACTTATGTTCGTGTTGCGTCTAGCAAGCATAATTGCTTTATTTTTGTCCCTTTTTGACATTTTTTTTGAACGACCAGAGCGACTTTTGTCTTCGACTACTCCAAACTCATTATGGTTTTTTAGCGTTGTTCTAACGCTGCATTCGCAGATTTCAAGTTGACGTCCAATTTCTCGATTGCTGAGATCACTTTTATATATGCTAACAACTTGCCACTTTGTTTCAATTGATATGCTCTTTAAACCCATATTTTTGTTGTTCAAATTTTAAAGTTTTAACTAACTGTATTTCAAATGATATATCTGTCACTTCAACTTAAGCTTCTTATATTTTTTATTGACTATTATTAACCAGCAGAGAGAAATTAACAAAAATTAACCAAAAAAGTTTTTCTGAAAGGAAGTAAACAATTGTACTAATACATTTTAAATGAGTGCGCTAATACTTTTGCACGCGTAATTTTACACATTTTTCAGAGTAGTCATTAAACTTATAATTAATTTATCAAAAAAACAGGTAGTTTGACAAATATTTGACATTCTAATTAAATTTAATTGGTTTTACACCTTTCATTAAAAAAAAAAACTAGTTCGTAAAGTTACTTTAGAATTTTAATAGACTGATCCCGAATTCCAATGATGTAATGTTACGGCATCCTGAAGACGAGGCGAACCATGACAAAATATAAAATTTAAAAAAAAAACATTTTAAACTTTTTTTGTTTTCGATGCTATTTACATTTTATTTACAAAAAAGTTAGTTGCTTTGAAAAACGTTGTTAAATATTTTATTATATATATTGTCTTTTTATTAAAAAAAAAAGAAATTAAAAAATATGGATATAAGTGTTGCAGTTGCAGAAGAGGATGTTTATATTGGTTCATCTGAAACTCGTCCTAGGCAGCTGGAAAGTGGTGGTAGGGGTCAATACTGCTGTGTACCAATGTGTAAAAATGCTAGATATGACAAGCATAAAAATAAAACAAATATTGGTTTATTCACTTTTCCTAAAAGCAACCCTCAATTGTTAAAAAAGTGGATTAATGTATTTAATAGCATTCGACGACAAGGAGGAGTAGATAACTTTAATGTTAAAAAGAAGTATACCTTAGTCTGCGAATTTCATTTTAATATAAGTGATATTATCTTAAAACCTTGTTCTGGAAGAAAAACACTTCATAAAGATGCTATACCGTCTATTTTTGTTTTTAAAGAAAACATTATTAAAAAAAATAGAAAAATTTCAAAAAAAAAATTACCTTGCAATATAACAACAGAAGCTTTAGAAAGTGGAACTTGTTCTAATATATAAACAGATATAAATTTTCATATCGAGCATCCCAAAGAAAACGTTGCTTGTGAAAATTGTCAACATTTAAAAGAGCAGTTAGAGCAACTTAAAAAAGAAAACGATTTCCTTAAAAATGAAAACCTAACATTAACAATAATGAACTCCAAGATTAATAAGGAGATTGAAAGTAAAAAACAAAACGAATTCAATTATAAAAATATTTCTACTGAGCCAAAGTTGTTCAAATCTTTTACTGGTTTAGAATTAGACAGGTTCAATGATGTATTTTTTTTGGTGGACCCAGGTGAAAACTGTGAGTTTTTAAAATTTTATGATTCTCAGTCAAGTATTGAAAAAAAACAAAAACACAGCAACATAGAATCGATGCCAAAAAAAGGTCCGAAACCAAAATTATGTGCACTTGATCAGTTTTTTATGACTCTTGTTTATTTAAAAAATGGATTTGCACTTTCTCATATTGGATGGTTGTTTAAGTTGCCAAAATCAACAATATCAAGACAGATGATATCATGGATTAACTATTTGTATTTTACACTTGGTAGGATACCTATTTGGCCTTCCAGAGAACAAATTGATTTGACAATGCCTGAATGTTTTAAAATAACATACCCAAGTACAAGATGCATTATTGATTGCACTGAGTTGTTTTGTCAAATACCATCATCCTTAAATATTCAGAGTTGTTTGTATTCAAGTTACAAAAGTCATGTTACATACAAGGGATTACTAGGTATATCTCCTTCTGGTGCTATAATATTTGTAAGTCAGTTGTATCCTGGATCAGTATCAGATAAAGAAATAGTAATAAGAAGCGGATTTTTAAATAAAGATCTTTGGGATAAAGATGATTCAGTAATTGCAGATAGAGGGTTTACAATTGAAGAGGAATTAGAAAACATCAATGTACGTCTAAACATTCCTTCATTTTTAGAAGGTCGAAACCAATTTACATTGGCTGAGGTTAAAGAAAGCCAAACTATTGCATCTGTACGAATACATATAGAGCGTGCTATCCAAAGAATAAAGCGACATAAAATAATACGTAATGAAATAACACTATCTTTACATGGTTCAGTCAATCAGATTTGGACGGTTATTTGTCTACTTACAAACTTCCAGTCACCCTTAATAAATGATACAGAAAAAACTACATGATATTAACAAAAAGAATATATTTTTTACTAACGACCTACTTTTTAAAAATGCAATTTTTTATTTGTATTATAATTTATTGTTCAATTTGACTTGTCTCAAGTTCAACAATAGCAGGTAAAAGATATTTGATATAAAATAAGTTAAGTTTATTTACAACATCTTTAAAGTACATTATATCAAAAGGAATTCGAATAATAATGCATCCTTTAAACGTATAAACAATGAAATCACAAAATGTTACTTGTGATATTCCTAGAGCCATTTGTATTTGAGTGTAATAGCCGTTTACATTTTTTTTTCTCAAGACTGGTTTATCATTTTTCATTTTAACATAAAAAGATTCGTCGAGTACTAATTCTTTTGGGGTACGATTTCTTTTTGACCAAGGGCATTTTATTTCTATCAATCCAAATTCATTATTTAATTCTCCGTTAATTAACATACCATCAGGTGATGCTGCAAGCCATGGTAGTTTAGGCTGTATAACAATCCCTGTTTCTCTGCATTTTATAGAATGATTAAGTTTATATTTCATAACATCGATATAAGTTTCCCTGGCAATAGGTTCAAAGTCTTTACCATGTTTTATAGCTTTTTGAAAAAGTTTAGAATCAATTAAATTAAGTTTTTGTGTAAATATGGTGATAAGACTGTCAAAGTTTTTAGTTTTAATATATAATTTATGAGCGTTGCTTGAAGTAATTTTGTTTCTTCGTAAGGCAAACCACTTATCCGAAAAATTTTGTAAAACTGTTGCCTTTTCAATATTTTTAGCCTCTAAGTATGTAACTTCTATTTTTTTTAAATAATTTTTTTTTTCAAAAGAAAATATACAATCTGGAACGATGTCATTATAGTCATCACTTAATTCTTTTAAAGGTAAATATTCAAATTCTATTTTGGGTTCTTGAATATCAGTTTTGTGTTTAGGTAGTTCTTGTATATTTGATAATATTTCAAAATGTGGTTCCACAACTTGCAAGTGCATACTTAGAGGTGAGCCTGTTGGAAATTGACCAAATCTTGTATTGACATATTTGTAAGTGTGAATGGGTGGTACAACATGGGCAAATCCAATTTTGTAGTTAACTTCAATAAGTTTTTTTTGAATTTCTAAAACTTTTAAGTTCATATATTGTTCATTGAAAAGAAGTCTAGGGTCATACAATGTAGACTTTATACCACGCTTATTATTTTCCTTCTTAACAATTGAACTCATTATAGGAGCTTTGTATCTTTTTTTTCCACCAGGAACACCCCATTGTCGTTGTTTACTTGTACAAGATATTTCAGTAGGGACTTTTTTTAAAAATTTTGTAGAGTAATCTGCTAATTCTAACAACAAAGCCATTACATGGTTACAATATCCACTCATTCCTGCTGGACAAGAACAGCCATTACATGGTTACAATATCCACTCATTCCTGCTGGACAAGAACAGCAAGCATAGATAACTTGGGACGAATTTTGTGATATGTGGACAGTAACTTCCCATATATCTTTTTTCATGCTAGCTCTACATAATCCTTTAGTTTTAAATACATTGTTTGCAGAATATGTAAATATTGAATCCGATGAAATATACCGCTCCTCTTGGAATTTTTTACCTCTTAAGAGTGTTTTTTTAATAGATAGTCCTTTTGATTTACCACTTAGTTTGCGATGATTTTGAATGTTATTAATTGTAAATAAGGGCATTTCTATCAAGCTTTTCCCCCATTTGTTATGTACCTGATACTTTAGATCTATCTTAGTAACTTTATAAGGTATATTAACATTGATTTCTTCTGAGCAAACATTTTCAGATAAACCCTGTAATAAAACAATAGGAATAACTTCTTCGGCATTTAAAATATCTTCTAAATTAGCAGTCGACATCGTTTAATTAATTTTAATAACAAATATTTTTTTTTAATTTTTGTCATGGTTCGCCTCGTCTTCAGGATGCCGTAACATTACATCATTGGAATTCGGGATCAGTCTATTGATTTAAAGTTGTCTGTAATAAAAAAATTACGAATGCGCTTATACTTTCAGAAAGTACCGTATTATAGTTATTTATAAATGATAAAGTTTAAAAAGCGTTTTTCTTAAACAACATTTAAGTCGTAGATAATAGGTTTGTTACAGTATGTTTAATTTTCCATTTTTTAAATAGCTACGCATTTCGACTAAATGTGAAGCTATTTAAAAAAAGCCCAATTTAAATTGTGTTTATCCATTTGCTTTTTAAACTAAATTTTAGTAGAGAAAGCAAATTAATAAACACAGTTTAAATTACACTCTGTTATTTGTAACTTAGAAGGTTGTTAAACTTATTTAAATTTTATATATTAGGCATTGAATATATTTTAAATTTTTTTTATATGATAAACTTAAGGGTTAGTTAAACAATTATTTCTATAATACAGATTATATGACTTGTGTATATTCTTGTATAATTTTCTATTTTAAACGTGACATGTAGTAACTTACGATATAAATTTAAATGAGTTGTAAAATTGAAAATGTTAACATTACTTTTGATGGGTAACATTATTTAGGTTAGTTGCAGTTATGTTTACATAAAGCTAGTTTATATGCTTTTATAATTTGCTATTTGAATAGATACGTAACATGCAATATCAGACTGTAAGTTTCATCAGTTGTAAAATGTTTACTTGAATTTTTTTTATGGGTATTTTTTTAGGGTAGTTTCAGCAAAGTTTATATATAGATTGTTATAAATTGTATATTTAAGTTTGTATATGCTTTTATAATTTGCTATTTTAGACACGTGTCATGCAGTATCACTCTGTAAATTTAAATTAGTTGTAAAACTATTTTTTTTTTTACTTGTAATTTTTTTATGTTAGTTACAATTAAGTTTACATATTGCTTGTTTATATTTGTTTAGAAATTGCTACTTTAAACATGTGGCATTCAGGCATAATGTATCAAATTTAAACTCAAATATTAACGTGTTTATTATTATTAAATAAAAAGGTAAGAGACTTTTTTCTTTTATTCTTGATGTGTGTAAAATTTTTACAACTATTGATCTGTAAAAATTTTAGAACCTTTCCCTTAGCAGGTAAGGTTGTATAAAACAAGAATTAAAATGTATAAAATGATTCAATAATTCAATGTATAAAACAAGAATTAAATGCGCTATAAATATATAGCGCATTTAATTCTTGTTTTATACATTGAAATGTAGAACTAATAAAATAACATAGCTTATTAGCAATTTAGAAATAAAGAATAGCAACAAATGTTCCTTAAGGGTTATTAGTAAAAATTTATTTCCATTTTGTATTATGGTATATCATTTATATTCAATAATTTCGTTATTTTGTTTTAAGGTTTGTTTATCTTAAAATAATCGATAACAGGCTGCTGGAATTAAAATGTGCGCACACATGAATTTACAACAGTATTAAAAATTGAAACCTACAGTAACAACTGTATACATGTCAGTGTTTTTATATGCTCTTAAACCTTAAATATAATAACTGTATTATTAAAATATATATCAAAAAATTTTTCATAATTTTATTGTTATTGAAAGTTTCTATATTGAATTAAATTATTGTAAATATTTAATTAGTTTTCAATTTTCAGTTTAGGTTTTAATTAGGTTTCAACGTTAAAACGTTTTTAAAGCTTGCTAAAAAATCTCCCCCGATCATGTTAGTTTGTATAAGTAGTACTGCTTTTATCAGATGTTGAATATCATAAGATAATCTATAATAAAAAATAAGGATTATTTTGTAATTTTAATAAAGGGATGACGTAGTTAATTCGATGACGTAGTTAATTCTTTGTTTTACCAAAACAGCGAAAGGCGCCTAGCGCTAATTTTAACGAATTGTTTGTTGTATGAACGGAATAAATCCTTAATTTCAACGGACTAATATCGACGAACTTTAATCCTTTAAAATTTTAATCCGTTAACATAACGGAAAACCCGTTGGTGCAATAGCGACAGATCCAGTTCGTTGTATATAACGGATTTTTTCTTAGAGTGTTTAGAAAGAATGTAAAAACAATACTAATTAGACAATATTATAAACTATATAGTAAAATAAATGTAATAAATAAATACCTGGTTATTTATAGTGAGCTACGCTCACTAAACAAGTAGCACTGTTGAATGCTCTCAGGAGAACTAAAGGTGAAAAATATTTTTAAGTTGTATTTTTTATGCATTACAAAAATAAAAATTTAATATGTATTACGAAAAAAAAAATTCTTATAAACAGTTGAAAAAATTATACGGCATTAAATGTCACATGAGTACACAGTTAACACACTAGAAAAAGTCTTAGAGACGTCTAAAAGACTTAACTTGGGTAGTATAGTGTATGTGTACAGCATATACAACCACAACACTGATCTAACTAATAACATAAAAATATAACTTATCTAACAATTTATTTATTCTACTGCCAGTTTCTTTTTTTGTAGAATCACCAAATAGAATTTCTCTATCTCAAAAAATTCAGACAATAGAAAAATACAAAGAAGGTTAAGTATTTATATATTAATTTTTAATTTCAAATAGAGAAAAATAATTGAAGATTTAAATGTTAAAATATATTAAAAAAGATAATTTAATAACACACACACATGCATTAAGTGTAATGTTAAAACATACTCACATGCATTAACTATATATAACTGCATATACGAATTAATAGTTGCTAAAAAAAATACCATTGTTACATCCACTCTTTTGGAAACTTCAATGCATCTTCACATTTGACTAGCCAACATAATGCCAAATAATGTTTTTAAAAGTTTAGGGTTATTTGTAACCTCTTTTGAAATTATATTTTCTTTATATCTTTTAATCTTTTAAGCCATTTAGGCTTTTATTATTCTAATATAATGTTTACATTCTCTTTTAATTAACAACAGTTTACAATAAATTAGGTGACTCGCTATTTTTTTTTCTTTTTCTTTTCTTTCTTTTCTCATTTTGTTTCATTTTTCTTTTTTAAGCAGGTCACCCTTCACTGTTATTTTACAAACTCAAGAAAATAATATATTTATATATATACAATGCAATAAACATTTAATATCAAAAAATTATATGGATTTAAAATGAAAACGCTATAAAGGTTCAGAATGAATAAGCAAAACTGGCCTTATATAGTTTAAAAACAAATTTTACAAAAATAAATAACAATCGAAAAGTGAAACTAGATTTGAAAAGTTTGAAAACATTATTTAAAAAAACCTATAAAAAATGTTTTAACATTTTAATATAAATAATAGTAAATTCCATAAATAAAAATAAAATCATCGCTTCCAAGATCTTTCTATAACCTCATCTTCATCATCATCATCAACTGCCAATAACATTTCTTCTTCATCTTTGTCTAGCTCTAACTATAGCAAAAACAAAAAGAATATATATATATATATATATATATATATATATATATATTATTTAGTAAAACCATAGATTTTGTAGCAAAACCAAAAACCTCATACTGAATTTTATACTAATACAAAATTTAATACTGATACAAAAAGATAATTGAGAAATTTAATGAAACTATCATTAAAAAAGTTATTACAAATTAAAAAAAAGATATTTTCAAAATCTTTTATTACCCATCTTTTATTAACGCTATTTTTTTAAATCTCCTTTATTTCATTTAAAAAAGCAAAAAAATGTCATGATTTCCTTTCAATGCAAAACTTTTTAATTTTACCTAATTTGTAATTGTAATGTTAAAAATAAAGTAAAATTGGACTTAATTTGTAATAGTAGTATAGATCACTATTACTAATAACAAGTAATAATAAATTAGCTAATAAATCATTTGTAAAATACATTCATATGCAAATTTAGATTGGCAATCCAAAAATAGCTTATATCTTTATAGTTTTAAGATGTCTAACCTTTATAACCTGCCAAAGGTTTCAAAGGTTAGACATACATTAAGCCCAAATCCTTAATCAATGAAATGTACTAAAGCCAGCACAGATGGTTATTTTAGTATGGTGCTTAAATATGCCAAGATGTTAGCCAGCCCAATAACTAAAGTTTAAATTCCCAAAATTCAATGACCTTATATTTTTCTGAATTAGTAGGAAAATATCTATAAAAATTCCCGATATTTTGAAGCACAATAACAATAATTATTCCTAATATTGCAAAAACGAGGTGAAAAATATTTCTGCTAACACCCTGAATGCGTGTGTATGTGTATACACATGTATGAGCTAGGATAGCTCAATTGGTTAAAGCGCTGCTAAAAAAGTTTGGAATAATTGTTGGTGATAGCTACAGAATTGCACATTAAAAATCCCAGCTCTGCCTACTCAGCGGATGAGTAGTACTTCGGTAAAAAGGAAACTTGTCACTGTTTGCTCAGCTACGATGTTTCCTTCTTGACTAGTAAATAAATAATCTACTCAAGTAAATGTTTTATTCCAAAAAGAGTTTTTTAAATCTTGCAAGAGCAAAAAAAAAACCATGTATTTTACAAGATGTATGCAGATTAATGATTTAAATCTTATGCAATATCCTATTTTAAATAGCAATCATACAAAATTATAAATTGTATTAAAATAAATAAAGCATTTTCTAGATTTATTGTTTTAAAATTTGCCTTAAAAAATAGCTGGAAAAAGCAACTAAAATCCCATAAATTCTTAAAAATACAAACATAACAAGGAAACACTAGCACAGAAGAAATAAATACCAATTCATCTTCTAAGTCTTTTTCTGATAAGCTCATTGAACGTGTTGTTCTTCTATGCATTACTTGAGTATCATTGTTTATTGAAGTTTTAGGATGACCATAAAACCATGATAATGCTAACTGTTTACCATTAAACTTCACACCACGAGCAGCAGCCATCTCAGCTGACTGTCGAGTGGGAAAAGTAAGAATTAACTTATCAGGAGTTGTTTCTTCAATACGATCCATTTGAGAAAATGTCTAACAGAAAAATTTTTAGATATAAAAACCTGATAATATTGAACAACAGTCTATATCAAAAGAAACAAATCAGACACAAATAAGAAAAATTAAATTAAAAAATAACTTTTCCTACAGCAAAATGTGCTATAACAGATTCCTTTTCATCAATGCCAAACCCAGTAACTTGAAGTTGTTTTGGACGATTATCTAAAATATTGCTTTTAAATCCGCCTCTTCCTCGTCCACGCTGCCACATACTTGAACCACGCCCTCGTATTTTATGAGTTCCTCGTCCTCTTGGATTGAATCCAATCTAAAATTTACAATTAATACTATTCGTAATTTTTAAGAAAAATCAAATTCAAATAGAGAAATTATATTGAGAAATCCTTAAAATAATGTTTAAAAGCAGTTTAAATAAAAAAAAATAAAAATTTAAAGACATAAAAATAAAAATACTGTAAATAACACTTTTTATTTGTTATCCAGATAAAAAATTTAATACAACCATGTTATTTAAAGATAAGTTTAACATCTACTATAACTAGAAACACAATCATCTCAGGACATATGACATTATTAAATAAGACTAAAGTAACAATTAACACTAAAAACCACATTTTGTGGATATAAAGCTGTGTTATTTTCATGAATCAACTTCTCAACAATGTTGTAAACCTTTCAAGCCTTGAAATGAAATTTTTTTAAAACTATTTTAAAACCAGAAAGTTGAAATGCTTTATGATATAGCAAATTAATACCTGTCTTTTAAGCAACACTATTGCACGCTTGGCTTCTTCTAATTCATCACCGTCCAAATTTCCATGATATATATCTATTTCACGATCCAAAATTTCTTTTTTTGGCTGCAAAGATACAATTAAAATATTTCTTATTGCTAATAAAAGAAAAAAAAAAGCTTATTAATATCTAATAACTTACATCTTTAATATGACGCAACAAACTGGTTGTTTTGGGTTTTACTTGAGATTCTTCTATAAGTTCTTTCTTTAATTTTTGCACTGCCACATCACAATGCTTAAATGCCTGTTTTTTGAAATCAATATAGACATACAATTAAATACTTTAACATAGGTATGCCATAATAGCATTTTAATAACTATCAAAACTCAATTGTAGGCATAAAGAAAAATTATCATACAAAAAAATTATATGAGAAAATTAATTTGAATATTCAATAAAACAAAAAAAGGTTTTAATTCTTAGTATCTACTTGTTGTAACCAGGCACTAACTAGCTTTAATTTAAAGTGACAATTTCAATCATATCTTAATTGTAATAGCAATATATATATATATATATATATATATATATATATATATATATATATATATATATATATATATATATATATATATATATATATATATATATATATATATATATATATACTTTAATGTTTTATAAAACTAAACTTTATTTGCTTTTTATCTATTTCTTGAAAGAAGATAAAACCAAAAAGACTTGCTCTTGAAAAATGTTTTAAAGCAAGAAACCAAGAAAAAAAATTTTTGAATGTCTTCTTGGCACAACATAAATTATTGAAAATAATTAAAAAAACACATAAAGTTAATCTGAACCTTTATTCTTTGTAAACATAAGAAAACAAAAGGAACTATTTAAATCAAAATAATACCCACAATGTTGTTGACCATGAAATAGTTGTAGGCTTTGTTAAGAAGCATTATGATGCAAGTATTTTAAATACAAAATGGCAATTTCACCTACGCGTTCAGATTAAACATAATTCTCTCGAAATATTTAAATTGTTTTTGCAGCATTTATTTTGAGAACCATAAAATACGGATCTTGGTAAGTCTATTCTACACTGACCATTTCTATACTTATACCTTAGTTTAATATTTTTAAGGAAGTGGCAGAAAAACTATACATATTAAAAAAACAATTTATAACATAACTTTAAAAAGTTCGAAACGCTATATCAGTCGTTGCGCAAACCACTATCTATTAGTAGAAAATAAAAATTGTCAAAACTTTGGTATAAATTAATAATTAATGTTCAATAGTTTATAACTTTCTTATTGTAATTAAAAACTTCTATAAAAAAAATGGATCTAAATTTTTTTCTTTTGAAGTTTTTACTTTTATTTATACCGCTATTTTAATGTTTATTGCAATTTTGAGCTTTTTTAAAAAACTATTAACCTTTTGTTTGTTATAGTATATTATATGTTTATATATCAACTAAACTTTAAAAATGTTTTAATTCAATTTTTAAAAAATTGGAAAAGATTTTAAAAAATTATTATGCAAGCGATAGGATTTGAACCCTCAATTGAACTCCAAAAGTGCAGCAAGCTAACCACTTTTGGTCAATAAGGGTGGAATGTAAGAAGAAAACTTGAGTAAAGTTCGACTGGTACTTTGAAATCTGACTTTTTCGAGTTAGACTTCAAAAAAATGGTTGAGCAAATGGGTAAATAAAATTTGAAAATTTCAAGAAAGACAAACTTGTAAAACTTAAAAGGCATTTGAAGCCAAAATTAAAAAAAAAAACTTTGCAACCAATAGCAGCAGAGTATTTGTAAAAGGAAAACCTTTTAAATAAAGCAATTTAACTATATAATTTTCAATAATATATCTGAGTTTTATACTTATTAGTATTATTAACTTAAAAAAATTCAAACAAAAATAAATTAGAAAAAAAAAGAAATTTTACTTTAGTATTTTATTTTTATTAAAACCAATAATTTAATAAAATTTTATTTTTATTATCAATAATTTAATAAAAACTGGGTTTAATTGAACATGCTTGTGTTACTTTCTATTTTTTTTTCTAATTCTTCAACTATGACAAAGAACATATGTGGAACACAAGGTGAATAACAACCTTGTGTTCCATTTGTCTATTTAAAATTTTCATTTAAATTAAAATTTAACTCCAACAAGGAAAATTAATTAAAAAATGACAACAGTTTTCAATACCAAGGCGACTATGATATTTATAAAGGTAGAAAACAAAATCAGTAGTAAGAAAACAACAAAAACAAAAAACAGATTTTTGAAATTTTTTTTAAATTAAAAAAACTTTAAATATGGTTTTAAAAATTAAAACTTTCCATCAGGTTAAAATGTGTAAAAGCAACAAAAAAACTTTATTTAAGAAAGGAGTGTTTTTGTTTAAGAGAATTCCTTACACAAATGTAATTAAAATTTTTGTTTCTTATTAATTGAATATATTACATAAAGTTTTTCTTATAAAAGTTTTATTTATGAACATAAACAAAAATTCATTTATAAACATAAATAAAAATTTATTTAAAAACATAAATTTATAAAATTTTTATAATCATTAAAAATAGTCCATTTAAAACATTAAAAATAAAAAATAAAAAAATATAAAAATAATATGCAATAAAGCTAACTAAAGTTTATTGTTATGAAAAATATTGTTTTAAGAAATAAATAAGGATATATCTAAGGATATATATAAATAAATATATACACAGTAAACTCCTGGTTGTTTGAACTAGCACTTAGTTAAATTCAATGCTTATTCAAAGAAATTTTCATTCCCCGTGAATTTTCCTTATCAAACTTTATCCAATACAGGATTTTCAGTTATTCGAATTTTGGGTTATTCTAAGTAAATCCTTATTCCCCTAGGAAGTTCAAATAACCGGTTTACTGTATAAGGATATACATAACATATGTAAATAAAGGACAATATATATAAGGATATATATATAACATATGTAATATATATATATATATAAAATATAAATATATATATATAACAGGCTTAGCCAGGAAGGCGTGCGATTTCACATTATGACCATAATATGACCACGACCATAAAATTAAAAAAAATCATTAACAGAGATTTGTTACTTAATTTAAATAATATAAAAACATAAGTAAAAACCAAAGTTATTTAATTCAAATGACTTTCAAAAAGGTAGCCTTTTCTTTTCTTCTCAACAAAATCTTTGTATTTTTCGAGTGTATTAACTTTAATGATTCTTATAAAAAGTTTAGCAAAAAGACAATTGCTGTTTAAAGTCGTCACTTATAAAATTTCAATTTTTTTTTAATTACTTTTTTTTATTTATTTTACTTATAAATAAATTTTATATAATTAATGCTAAAAATTTCAACAATACTTTAATTAAAATCATTAGATACTTTATTTAAAAGCCTTTTGCTAATATAAAAATGTTAGTGATAGATAAACGTGTCGAAGTTATTTATTTTCTAATTGCTAATATAAAAATGTTAGTGAAAGATAAACATGTCAAAGTTATTAATTTTCAACGTAATTAAAAACCGATTTCTTCAGCACATTTGTTAAAAACCATGGTTAAACTGTCAAAACAAAAAATTATTTCCATGTTCATACAAAAACTTGAAATCGCGCGCCTTCTTGGACAAGCCTGATATAAATGAGGATATATATAAGGAAATAAGGATAAATAATATTTTTAAAATACCAAAATTCATCAGTAACTTGTTATAGTAAAAATGATTTCAATAAGATTTAAAACTAAATTTAATTACAAACCAGTTTGGGAAACCTTAGTATCAGCTAGCCACCAAACTACTGAGTTTTAGAGATATACCTTTATAAGACAACACAAAGAGCTTCATAGAAAAATAGAGGCTATTAATGGCTATAAAGAATCAAGAGAGGTTTTTCAGAAAGAGCAAACTTATCAATAATGGTATTTAACATTTTAAGGAGTTGCCTGTTTGAATAAAACGATGGATAAATTTCTTTTCATTGTTACAGATGAGTTTCTGGGCATTTTATTTAGGAGTTTACATATATCATAATAGCAAAAAAAAATTTCCTTCTATTTAGTGCGTGTGTAAATCGCCTATACTCTTGTCACCAATTCAACAATTGAAACTTTCTTAAAATTTCTTAACAATTAATTTTTTGTTGGATTTATTTGGTACCAGGCCTTCTTGTAAGAGGCGTGCACGCCTTATATGACCACGCATAAAGTTCTTTGTTTTAACAACTTGACCACGGCTCTTGGCTAGTTTTGATAATTTGCGCGTTTAAAAAATGCGCTAAAAAAAAAACAAAGCAAATTAAAATAAACAATCCATAAACTGAAAAGAAAATAAAGTCCCTAAAATAATATATAATACAAAAATTAACCTAAAAATATAAAATATTCAAAGAATGATAAAATAAATAAATAACCAGAAAAAAAAAAATCAAAACATTTATTAACTAATGTAAACTTAATTGTAAATGAAAGTAAAAAATAATCACAGTTTTAATAATCTTTATCATTCCTTCCCATGAATAATTAGGCTGATACAAGGGCGAATCCATTGTGAGGGAAAGGGTCCCCCCTCCCCTAAGTTTTTTAATCTATTTTTTCAGAAATTGATGTTTAAAAACATTTGAAACAGAAATTGATGTTTAAAAGTAACTTAGGCTGTTTAAAAGTGCCATGAAATTTAATAAAATTTTGTGCAAGTTTAAAATTTTATTAAAAAATTAATAGGATACAGGGTGCGACAAATCGACAAAAGTGCGCGCATTTCTTAAAAGACAGACAGAAAAACAAACATCACGTTTCTTTAATTTTGCTTATGCAAACATTGCCGTTTGATTAGGATTTTTCAAATTGAATGTATCACTTCAGCAATTTTTTTCAAAATAATTTTGTAATCATTAGTTTTTTATTTATTATAAAAAACACATATTTAATAAATTAAAAAATTTAATATATTAAAAACAATTAATTTCACAGACTTAAATTAATGCCAAAACTTTTTTAAATAGCATCACTTTTAAGTAAAATAACTAAATACGCTATAGAAAAAAGTAGTTATGTTTTAGCATGGTTTTTGCATGCACCCACTAATACATACATAATTTTACTTAAAATGAATGCTTTTGCAAAAACCTCAAAAGAAACCATACTCAAACATTTCAATTGCTTTCTTTTATTGAGAAAAGCAATCATAACATGTAACGATGGTTTCTTTTATATTTTTAGCAACTACATTAAAAGTTTAAAGCTAATGTATTCATTATAAATAAAATTTAGCATGCTTTTTAAAAATTTTCTTATTTTCCATAAAGTGAAATGTTTGATTGCATATTAAAACTTTTGCACTTTTAAAAAATTTTTTATTGTGCATTTATTATTAATTTGCGCGCACTTTGCAAATGTGTAAAAAAAAAGATTTATGGAAAAATAAAAATTAAATAAATTTACCAAGCATCTTTGATATATTTAATAACTTATTAACTAGAATTATTTGAATTTTATTTGACATAAATCTCTTAAATTAAACGTTCGTCAATAAATAAAGATACGCAAGCCAACGTTCATTTAAAAAAATAACGATATGTCATGCCCTGGGATAAAAAATAGTTGGCAGATGCAATCATTTCAAGATTATTGTAATTCCTTTTTTCTAGTAAATAATTTATTATTTACTATAAAATATTAGAAAATATAATTCCATGATAAAATGGTTTGTAATTAGTTTCTGTACTCATTTTGCCTTAAAATCTAATCTGAATATTTTTTTTCAATGATTGCCTTTAATTAAGTTGCATTAAAGTACTCAGGAAATTTTGTGGGAGTTTTATTGTAATTGTGGAATCAATTAAATAAAAAATTGCATTTGTTTTTTTTTTAGCGCATTTTTTAAACGCGCTAATTATCAAAACTTGCAAAGAGCCGTGGTCAAGTTGTTAAAACAAAGAACTATATGTGTGGTCATTATAAGGCATGCGATTGCAGGCCTCTTACGAGAAGGCCTGTGGTACTGTTGTATTTTTACTTAACTATTATTTTTTGATTATTATATTTTGATATTCTCAATTAAAATAACCAGCCATAACATATGAATTGATGTGGAAAATTTTTTTACATGTTTACATGCGCGCGCGTGTGTGTGTGTATATATATATATATATATATATATATATTATATATATATATATATATATATATATATATATATATATATATATATATATATATATATATATATATATATATATATTACATTAAGTTACCTTTAATAATTTTTCTTTTTGTTCTTTTGAGAGTGACTTTCCATCTTGCAATTTTTTTAAGATGCCCTATGTAATTAGTTTATACATTATATTAGTATAAAACAATCACAACAAAAAGAAGCAATAAATACAAGTAAAAAAAATATTATTTATTTTAAATTATTTTATACAATTTGTATTTTTTTGAAAAAATTTGTTTAACCTTATTATGTATCATGCCATTTCATTTTTAACTATTGGACCGTATTTTAATTTAAATACAATGTTTAATTTAGAAAACCATTCCTTAATGCTACAGCCACATTTATAACCAACAATTATAATTTTTTTTAGCAAAATGGAGTACCACCACAGTTCAATAGACAATCAAATATCAATTAAAGGCAAAACATTTCTTGGTGGGTTTAAAGGTGGGGTTCAATTAAATGGGATCAATTTTGATATCATTGGATTTATAGTATAGAAAAGTCTATAAATTATATTTATATTTATAATAGTTTTATAATTATATTTGAAATTATATTTATAATAAATTCAATAAATTTATTGAAAAAATTACAAATACGATTAAATCAGCATTTGATATGTTAAAATCAAGCTTTTTCTAAAATCCTAAAAAGGCTGAAATAAGTTACTATAATTAAATTGGGCCATATTAACAATTGTTTTAACTATTGCTAATATAGCTCATTCAATTATTAAATGGCAAATAGTGTGCATTTAAAATTAGAGGTGTACCGGATATTTTTGCCGGATAGCAAACTATTCTCAAGTTCTATAAGTGTTTTTGAAGTAAAACCAAGTTTTGCCATTCTACAATAAATAGTGTTCAAGATTTTAAAAAATAAAATATATAAAAAAACTGGTATAACACAGGTATATGCGTTAATAATGTATAAAGAAATATCGTTTTTATAGCCAAAATTTTGTTTTATTTAATTACTATTTTCTATACTTTGGCAGCACATATATCATGTCATACAGATTTTCACTGATTTTGTAAAATAAGATCTTGAATACTATTTATTGTAGACTAGCATGACTTGTTTTTTCTTCATTAACATTTATAGAACTTTAGAAAAGTTCACTATCCAGCATTTTAGTTTTGTATATATATTTCAAGATTAAATTCACAATTAAATGTAACAAACCTTTTGCTTCACAAGCAATTCTTCATAATGGAATTGTTTTTTCTTTACAAGATCTAGTTTCAGCTTTTCTAATTCCTTCAATAAAAAAATTAAATACTTAAATCATCCATATTAAATCTGATATTTATGATTGAGTAAAAATTTATGGAGAAATATTAAGAATATTTATGGAGAAATATTGAGATATTTAAAAAAGTTTTATTGAAAATGATAAAGCAGTATAAATTCTTAAACATTAAATTTAAATTAAAATAGTAAAATAATATACTTTTTTTTTTTCTTGTTGAATAAAACGAGGATCAACTTTTGGATTTCTATAAATTAATTCATCTGAAGATGCAATTTTTTTGGGTTTAGGGGCTTGTTGTTCAACAGCTGCATCTTGGCTATTCGTCACTTTGACCTAAAAAAAAACCTTTGCTAATACATATTTGCTATTAAAACTTAAATCCACTTTAAATATTTCATTTGCATGGATCCTGTAAGTTTACACATATAATACAGAGTGATTAAAATTTACCAAACTTTATTAACACAAATGAATATCGACCTGCAAATTCCATATTTATTTACACTATCTCCACCCAACAAAAATCTGGATCATTAAGTCATGATAATGACTTTGTCACAAATTCTACACAAATTTGCCCATTTTAAAATTTCTGTAAAACCAAATAATTGAATCTAAACACCTACCAGATCAACAATCCACTTAATGCCTATACCATATATAGCAAACCAAGATGATTAGATAAACATTATTCATAGATCATCCTAGTCATAATTTAAAAATACGGAAAATTGTTTGGATAAAATCTGGAAAAAATCCAGAATTTTCCCTTATTTTCTTTTTAATTTTGCTTTTAGCTAAGTTGATTTTAATTTTTTTAATTTTTTTTCATAATTTTTCTGAGTGATGAGTAAAAAAGCTTAAAAAACAAATATATTACAAAAGTATATACCTCAACTTGCATTAATTAAAAAATGTTTTGGATAAAAATATTTTAGATTTTAGAGCGTTTTTAAAATATTTGAGTCTAAAATATTTTAGATGTTATGAATCCTTAGTAATTTGAAAACACATCATAGTTAATTGTAAAACTAATTTTTTAAAACTTTGACCAGCAAGAATAAATTTTGGGAGGTTGTTGACCATTGACTGCCTGTTATTTTGTGAGCTGTTCTTTAGATATATTTGAGAAGACTGTTTTTCTTAAAAACCAGGTCATTGTATTTTTCTAAAAACAACATTAAGTTGAATTTTACAAATTTAAAAACTATTTCCTTATTAATAATTCTAATAAGATTAAAAATGACCATTTTTTAAAAATGTCTTGATAAATAATACAAAGTTATTTCTATCATCTTGTTTTCTAAGATTTATCTAAGATATATGTATCTGTAGATTGTCAACCTAGACAAGTCATAACACCATACCTAAAACTTAAAAACTTATAACTTAAACCAGTAAAGGATCAGTAGTAGTAGAATAAACAGTCTATAAAAAACATTAAACATTATAAAGCCTCTTGAACAGATTTTTTATCTTGCAGTATATAAAAAAACCTAGATATTCCACATACAAGCCTACATACAAACCTAGCTATTCCACATACAAGCACTCTAAATTATTAATATTAACGCAGTAAATTAATACCAATACAATACCAGTTACAATATCAAAGAACTTATTAATAAAACCAAAAATTATTTAAAAAAAAGTCACACACATCACACACAACCTAAACTATCACTAACAAAAAGCAGATATCCTGACAAATTTTTATTATAATAATTTGTGTCAATCACAATAGTGTCAAAGATCTATACTTAGTATAAAAGATATATTTCTCAACAAACATTTAACTTTATAGACTAAAGACTTAGATTTAAAGATGTGTGTTTATAAAAAGCTTAAACTTATAAATACATTCAACATACTGCTTGTTGATTGCTGTTTGAACTTTTTTGTTGCTTGTTAGGATTATGCCAAAACATTTTGATAAATCGATTGCCAAGTATAGCTTCAGGAGAGTTGTAGGCAGCTGTTGCCTGTTGGTATGTTGCAAATTCTAACAGAGCTGCTTGTTGGTCATTATCAAATGGAGTCTATATAAAAGTAATGTTTAAACAGACAAAATTCTAAAAAATATTTTGGATAAATTATTATAAATAATTTTACTAACCTGTATTTTTGTTATTACACCAAACTTTTGGAAATGTTCACTAAGTTTAACAATATTATTTAAATTTGCAGGTATTTTGCGAATTTCTAACACTGTATTCTTATGAAAAGGTTGACGTGAGGGTATTTGCAGAGTCTGTTGCTGCTGCTGTTGATGTGCCATCATAGCAACTTGTTGTTGTTGCAATTGCATTTGAATATGAAATGCTTGTTGCTGCTGCTGTTGATTTGTTAAGGACATAGGAAGATAAGCCTGTTGAAGTATATCAGGAACAGGAACATTCTGATACATTTGGAAAGCTTGTTGATGATTTTGAGTTTGAGACATTGTACTCATTGCATTATTTAATTGGAAAATATTATTTGGTTGGGAGCCAACTATAGGTGTTAAAGGTACATTACCCATAGCAATTTGAATAAGTTCATCGTGTGTTCTGTTATCAGATTCAATTTTTTCATGTTTAGAAGAAAGAGAATTATCTTTTTTTATAACACTTGATTCTGTAGCTTCAATAGCAGGAGCTTCAGGGTTATATGCTTCACCAGCACAAACAAGTTGCTGTGACCCAGGAGTTGAAGCTAAATATACAACGAAAAAGATAACAAATTCAAGTAAAATCTAGTGAAAACCTGTTAAACTCTTTCGCGCCTAAAATTAATTTTTGTTAATATTAAAAATCAGCACACTACATTTAAAATGATAAATATTGAAAGAAGGCATCATAATTACTTCATAAAACTACATTTTTCAACAGAAAAATAAATATACATCATATACCTTTAAAAAAAAATTGTTTATCAATCTGCAGACACAAATATCACTTGAATTTTGAGAGAAAAAATTTTTTTAATAAAAAATTGGAAAATCAAACTTTGAAATTTTGTTAAATTCTAAATAATGCTAATCAAAACTTAAAACATAATCAAAGAACAAATAAACGAAGAAACCATAGTAATGTAACAAAATTAATCAATAAAAGAAAAAAAGATCAACAATTTGAAGGAAAATGTGACAGGCCTTGTTAAAAAGCTTAATGCTGTATGTGGTTTATGTATGAAATTATGTAATAATATGCAATTTACCTGAAATATTTAAATTGATGTCAATTTACTTATGAGAAGAATTTTTGTTTAAGAGAATTCATTTCACAAATGGATTAGAAATTTGTTGTTTCTTATCAATAGTTTTTATCAAAAGTTTTATTATAAACATAAATTATGTTTATGAATATCTTACTAATAACTGATAAAATTAATCTATTAACTGTTTATAATTTTAAAAAATAGTATATTAAAAAAGTTAAAAAAAAAGGGAAAAAGGAAAACAATCAAAATGTTATTATCAAACAAACTACTATTATAAGTATGAGATTGCTTAAAGAATTAAATTATAAGAAACATAATCTTTTTAAAATACTAAATTTAGCTTTCATCAGTAATTTTGGTTATATTTGTTTAAATAATTTTTAATGTGGTTTAAAACTAAATTTAATTACATTACAGTACTTTAAAATTTGCTGATGACACAATTTAATTTTTAATGATACAAATATCAAAGTTACATTTATTAGCATTTTTATTATAATAAATAAAGATAGATCATTTTTATAATAATTTTATTTATAAATATTAATTTTTGTTTTCTAAAGAACTTTGTTTTAAAAATAACTTTTATAAATAATGCGCGATTCCTGAATAAGGGCATTCAATGTCAAATCAGCAAAAAAAAAAAAAATTATTTGCTATTAGAGTCATTTATGTGGAAGATTGTCTATGTACCTAATTTTAGATTGATACGTTAATCTATATTGCTACTATAATATATAATTGCTAATATTGCTACTAAATGACAAAAAAATTTAATGCTGCAAAAATGCTGTTGGTTCAAATCAGAAAAATTTAAACATGAATAGAATCGAGGAGTTGAATACTCAAACTATTTGGCTTGAAGCTTTTGCTTATTTTTATATGCTCTTTAACATTTTAAAAAAACTAGTAAAATCATATGGCAACCCTTGGAATTAGAAAAAATGAGGTCGGCAATAATTTGCCAACCTCAATCTTTTTGAGATTAGCATAAGGTCGGCATTGCTGAATGCCGACCCTAACTCCAAGGGTTGCATATGGTAAAATGTGTGTGCTAACTTGACATTGGATGACTAGTAATTAAATATTTATAATACCTGGAGAAATGTTTTTTATGAAGGCAACTGAATTTCTAGGTCGAAAAATTGGAACCTGGTTCCTGTTCATTTCAATAGGTGAAGGAATTGGTGTTTGTTTTTGTACATGTACTGTAGTTAAACCCGTGTTTAGTGATAGGGCACCAGGAACAGACGGTACTATAGGTCGAGAAGGTAAAATATTTGGCAGAAATTGCAGATGTTGCGGAGGTTGCTGTACAAAATTTTGATGAGGTTGGGCTGCAGGCAAACCAGCCAAAGTAAGCATCTGTGGTAAATTAGTATCATCTACTTCAAGAGGATCATGTCCGTGATCATATGGACAAACCTCACCAAGCATACAAAATCCTTTTTCTAAAAAAAAAAATATTTTTTAACAATAAAATATAAAATACCAATAAAATGTAATAAATGTTTATTTGGTTAAAAAATAATCATGATTCAATTAACAAGTTTTTCAAATCAGGCTTTTTTTATAATTTATAAACCTATTTTAATCAATCCAATTTAATTGCTTGTTGAAGATATGTGATGATAAAATGTATACAAAATTGTTTGTTACACTTATTTAATGTTGCATTTACACAAGTTTGTGCAAAAACCAATTACACAAATTGCAAACTTCATTAAATTCACTAACTGATAGGCAAAACTTTTCCTTGCATTTATTGATTTTTTTTGCTTAGCGATTGGATTAATACAGAAAACTAAAAATTAAATACCCTTTTATGTTATGAGCAACTTACATGTTAATACGGTAGTGGTATAGTGGTAAATTACTATAGAAGAAACATGCTTCTTTGCGCAATGAGTTTGATAAAGTTTTGGGAGGAAAAAGTTATTTGTTAAAGAGTTGGGAGAAGATTGTAACCATAATAAAGTAGCCTCCTTGAATGTAGTGGTCATCTCAACTTTGAGAAGGTAATAGGATAAAAAAAAGTTGGACGCAGATTTAAGTTAAAAATAAAAGAACATAGTTTTAAAATATAAAATTAATAAGTTTTTCTTCTCAATGCAAAAACAGTTTACTATAAAAAAAAATTGTTTAACATCAATTATTTACAGGCTGTGTTTGTGGGTTGACTGTGTATTTTGAGCAGGCTCAATGTAAGTAAAAACTAGAAAATTATCATTTTAAATTGATTTACTATTGAAGAAAAACATACCTTCATAATCCCTACACTTTTCTTTTTCTTTACGTCTAGTTCGTCTTTCTCTACTTTTATCTCCATGCTCACGCCTTGAACGATCTTTTCGGGAGCTTCTTGAATGACGACTCATTCTATTGGGAGACCTAGATAAACCATGGCGTGAAGAATGTCTTCGTCTTGATTGTATCGGAGAACTACTTTTTAAGGCTCTTTCTTGAGAATTTCCTTTTTCCAAATCTACTTCATTTTTGACACCATTTCTGGGTTTAAGAATATTTGATTCTTTAAATGTTTTTTTATTTTTATCATTATTTATCTCATTTGAATCTAATTTGGAATCATTAGAAACTTGTTTCTTATCTAAAACTTCATTTGGCATTGGAGTTAATTCTGTTTTTCCAACATCAGTTCTATTTTCGGTTTTTTGAATTTTTTCTACGTCAGAATCGTCTATTGATTTTCGTTTGCTTCCTTTGTTCTGCTCATTAATAGTTTTAGCCTTAGAGAAGAAATTTGAATAATTGAGTTATTTGAGAAATTTGAATAAATGAGTTTCATTTATCAAATAATTGCTACTTATAACAAAATATTGCTACTTACTTAAATATTGCTACTGTATAACAAAAACTTTGTTATAAGAGCAAAAAAAAAATTACTAATTTAATTATTAATTTTTATTATTGCTATTATATTGAAAAGACCCCTGTTTTTTTAAAAGTTGGATTTTCAAAAAAATATAACTATAACATCTATTCAGAACACAGCACTTACAATAACATTTTCACTAACAACTTCGGGAACTGCAGGTAAATATGATTTGGTAGTCAAACTTACAAAGAGATCAGCCACAAAATTCTTTGTTTCTATATATATAAATATAAATATATATAAATATAAATAATTAAAATAAAAACAGCAAAACAAACGTTTTATTTTCTAAATAAAACTACTACAATAAAAACAAAAAAATGAATGTTTTAAATAAATTTTGAATAAAATGAAGATAAAACGGAATAACAAACATTTTCTGAACTAATTAATTTATAAAACACAAAAGCAAAACAAACGTTTTACTTAAATTCTTAAAATAATTAAAAGGAAAACAAAGGTTTTCTAAATAAAATAATACAAAATAAGAAAATGAAAAAAACTTGGAAAAACTAACATTTTATTTAAATTCCAAATAAAAATAATTAAAAAAACAACAACGGAGAAACAAATGTTCTATTTAAATACTGCTTAAATTCAGAATACAAACCTTTTATTTAAATTGTAAACAAAACAATTAAAATAAAAACAGAAAAACAAACATTTTACTAATTCTAAATAATATATATATATATAGGCTTTCACAGAAAGACGTGCTATTTCACGTCTTTATATGACCACGCAAGTTACATTTTGCTATGACAGTTTGACCGCGGCTAATTCAAAAAACATTTTAGAAATGCGCTAAATAAAAAATATTCTAAATAAAAAATATTCTAAAAATATATAAAAATGTTGAAACAAAAATTGAAAAGGTTTTTTAATGCGTAAATTAAATAGACTAAGCATTTTAGTTTGATGAGTTTTGTTTTAGTTGCGTTATATATGTTTATTATTAACTAAGTATTTTCTTTATTTTCTCTTTTGTTAATATTTATTATTTTTTTTAATTTTTTTTTCAGATAAGTTTAGGTAAGTTTTTGTAGCGCGTTTTTAAATTTTAAAAATATGCCATGGTCAAATTGTTAAAACATTTTTTTTTGCGTGGTCATATAAAGATGTGAAATCGCACGTCTTCCTGTGAAAGCCTGATATATATATATATATATATATATATATATATATATATATATATATATATATATATATATATATATATATATATATATATATATATATATATATATATATATATATGTATATATATATATATATATATATATATATATATATATGTATATATATATATATATATATATATATATATATATATATATATATATATATATATATATATATATATATATATATATATATATATATATATATATATATATATATATATATATATATATGTAGGCCTTGTTTTAAATAAAAAAAAAAGGCTTGGCACATCAGCTGGTCGCACTGTTGTAAAAAAATTGCTTGCTGTCATGACCCAGAAAAATACTGGGGCATGATTGTACTATCATTGCTGGTAACTGGGATCCCTAAATCTGATTACACTGTTCGTGGAAGAAAATCTATTCTTAAATTTGCATAAAATTGCATTAATAACTGCAATACATCTAACTCTAGAGCAATAATTTTTTTAAACTTTTACTTTCATCCACTACAAAAATTTTGATAGATAGTGTTAAGTTGTTTTAGGAAGAAAATAAATAATAATTTTTAGGAAGAAAATAAAAAATTGGAGCTTTTGTTAATTTAATAAAGAACATACAAGTTAATTGTATCAAAGAAAAATGAAAAAAATCAAAATTGCTTTTTTATAAACTATTTTGATAAAATTCTCACAAAAGGCTTAAGCATTAGTTATTCAATCCATTTTTTTCATAGATTTAGTATCTTTTTTACTGTCTATTTTGTTTGAAAAACTGTCAGGACTATTTTAGAAATTCTGCACACAAAAAATTTAGGACAGTGTACATCTATATATGCTAAAGTATCTGCATTATGTATTATAGTATAAATCAATAAATTAGTATAAATCAATTAACACAGCAATTTAACTTACGATCACCCAAGAAAACATCTAACTGATCTTCACAGAGAGCTTTAAGCTCAGCCTCTGATTTATCTTTTTTAATAAGAGCAATAACATACTTTGCAAGAGCCACAGGATCAGCATCACAACTACATAAAAAAATTGAGATTAAATTAAATATAATTAGGCAAGTTTTATAATATTATATAATTTTCACTATAATTGCCCCCTTCCCCCCCCCCCCCCCAAAAAAAAAAAAAAAATTGTGCTAAATGTTATAAAACTTTTTTTATTTTTAGATTTATGGAGGTTAACTGCAAAAAAACTAATTTCTTATTTTCTCAAAACAAAAATATATAAATGTTATATCACTTTTTGTCAATAAAAACTAAATATGTAAATATTTAATATTTGTATAAGGATTTCCTTATACAGAACTGCAGATATTTTAGTTCAGTTAATTATACAGAACTAAAATGTCTTAAAATTTCTTAATACAATTTTCTTATTCCTATGTAAATGTTAACTTCTAGTTAAAATTTATATTAAGTTATAAGCCATGAAACAGGCCGAGACAGCCGTTTCAAGCAAGCTTTACAGATTCTTGCTTGTCTTTTTTAAATAATTATTTAGGGTTTTTTAATTTTTGAAATATTCAAGAAAATTTTATTCTGAAAAAAGAATAGAAACACCAATAAAACGTTTTACCTTATAACATTAAATGAATTAATAAAAATGTTCTACAATTTGAGATTAAACGTCGCAAATGATAAACTTGGCTAAATTTTCATAATTTGTTGTCACTTTTCATCAACAAAAAAATTGTGATTTGCTTTACTGATTATGTTTTATACATATGAAAATCAATATTTGTGATATTGGATTGCAATTTCAATAAATTGGTGCCTATTACACAGCTGTTTCAATATAAAAGTGAGCTTGATGTCACAGTTATTTTAGTGCTTATTAAAAAAAAAAAGTGTTTCTGCAAAAAAAGTTTGAAAATGCACTAACTTTAAAATAGTGTTTTTTCCTATAAGCGCTTTCATCTTCAAATAAAAAAATATATAAAAGACCTATTTTTATTTTTTAAATAAAGAATTACATTAAACAGAATAAAAATACTTGTTTAAATATTGGTAACGATTTGGAATCACTTTTCTGTTTTTTGTGGTTTTTACAAAAAAACCTGTCTTGGGTCAACTAAGATTTCATAACATAGCTACATACCTCATGGTCGAAATTTGGAACATCATCTAATTTTTTTAACTATTTTTAGTGCATTTATATTTTTAATTTTATTATTAAATAATGAAAACTGTATTATTTTTGTAATCCGCGCCAAATAATTGAAATTTCAACCCTTTCTGCATATAAAAATCAAAAAATATGTTTTCTGTACCTCTAGCTATGCTATAAAATGTTTTCAAACATGGCTAGTTTAGAAACAAAATTTTCTAGTTTAATGCGCAAAACATTGTTTACATTTAAAAACAATCACGTGATCTTAAATTCAATATGTCCCGAGCAAATATTTTATGAATTTTATGAAAACAACTTTCCTAGCCAGACAAATTTTGAAGTAAAGAATTAATAAAGTTAGCGGTTTTTTTCTTTAGAATGGTGCATAAATCTATTATCAACTGGGTGTATAAAGATCATTTTGTACTTAGGAAATTAGTGGATTAACTCTTAAAAAACAGTTTTTTATGAGAATAAAAACACATTATCAAACAATTTAAATTAGCTATTTGTATATTTAAAGAAACGTTTTATTTTTTGTGAGATTGATTGAAGTGCCATAATTCTATCACCAAAAGCAAGGTTAATTCAAAAACTTAACCAGTTTTTGTCATGAATTATTTTATTAGACTTTGCGAGTCTTTATTTATTAACCTAACACCATATTATTAAAACTGTATGCATAGAAATAAATAAATGGCTTCAGTTTTTTAAAGACTTTAGCTTAAAATGTTAAGACTAAAAATTGAAATCTGGCTTTCTTTTGTAATGCAATGAGTTTATCAACTTATTGAATTATTTTCCAAAACAAGAACTTATATATTTAAAAATGTACTCATTTAACAGTAATCCCCCCCCCCCTTTTTAGTTAACCTTCAACAATTAAGTAAGGTTTTCTTATTCTAATAATAGTCAAACAAGAGTGTATTTGATAATAACTATCAGAAATATATTTTTCTAATATTTTTTTTGATAAGAAGTAACAACAAATTACTAGAATTGTTTGTCGCATTTTTTATAAACTTTTTTTACTATTGTATTAAAAGTTTTTTTACTATTGCATTAAATGTTGTATGATAAAATATTTTATTGTTTTTATTTCTTTTACAAAAAAAAAAAATTATTTTTAATATTTCAAAAGTTACCATGAACTGGGGAACTATGAACAACAGGGTAAAAGTGAACATCAATACCAAGTTCACTAAATGGTAAGGATAACGCACGATATAACTAAATAGTGTTAAATATAATATGAAAAAGTTAATTTTTGGCTGCCCTAAATAAATTTATTTTTCACCTACTTTAAAGATTTCATGTAAGTCTCAAATAATGGTTCTGTGGTTCGGGCAATTAAACTAAATAGCATATCATAAGAACCGCTAATCAGAACTTTATAAATATTAGCGCACATTAAGTTCAAACACATATTGCTCTAATAAAACTATAAATTATGGTATAACATGTCTTTTTCAGATTTTATGGTCATTTAAAATGATATTTTCTACAAATAATTAAAGTTTTCTTCTGCAAACTTTAGGAACTATGATTCGAAGTTAAAAAAGAAAAAGGAATATAGACCTAGGAATATTCCAAGAAGCTGGAAAATATAAGGTTCTGCTACAAAAAAAAGGTAGCGATTAGGCCAACAGTTTTTTTCTATGATACAAAAATGTTTTAAAAGCGTTCATAGTCACCCCCGTTCGCAGTATATATGTTTTAGTAACACCCAGTAAGTCAACATTTAAAAAAAAACCAAGAAGCCGTAAAGCTCACTCTGAAACAGCCGTGATTACAAAAATAGTACAATTTGCATTTTAAATTGCTTTATTTTGAGTGAAGCAGCCAGGTTTAAGTAAAGTTTGTTTTGTTAAAGTTACTATAAAGTAACTTTAAATTATTGAAATTCAGATAAGTCCTTTATCCTATTTGTTTATTCAAAAATCAAAGGTTTAATAGTTTGGTTAAATGTCATAAAATAACAAATTGTAAAAGTATTTTTACAGAGCTAAAATATTTCAAAAGATTTATAAGTTTCAGTGACATTCTCTAAGTGAGCATTAAAAACAAATTACAAGAACTCCTATGTCTATCATAAAAAAGCCATGACTATATTGGAATACTTTTAAATTCTTACATTGGTTCTAACTTCTTAGAAAGCCAAAGCTTTAAAGCATCCATACCATCAATAATCATTTTAAGAGTTTTTCTGCAAAATAAAAAATTTTATTTTTAATTTATACAATATATCTCATTAGTTAACTAACTATAAAAATTTTACAGAGATAAAAAAAAAAAAAAATAGCAAAACTTAAACATAAGTGTACCTTAAAATAGAAGTAACAATTAGAAAAAATCTTGAAAAAGTAACAATTGAGCAAAAATTATAAAATAACCCTGCAAGTAAATTTATTGAACTCTAACTTAATCTTTATCTTTTTAAAATAGCGAAATTTAACAATAAATCTTAAACATTGCACTCGAAGAGCTAAAGTTTTATTGATTTTTGCGAATGTTTCCAGATCAGCGATTTTTTAATTACCCACAATGCGCAGTAAATATACTCAGACATTTACCTCAATGTCATTTTATCGCAAAGCATTTCGGGATGTTTTTTGAAACTTCTCTTTATATTAAGAAAATAATTAATTACAAGTATTTTTTTTTCATATGGGGTAAGAGTTGTTAGTAATTAGCCTTAGCCTTGATATGGCCTTAAGGGCAAAAAATAAGGCCTTAGCCTTGAAAATTTTTGTTAATCATTCTTTATTTTGCATAATTACTTTATTAACTTTAGGCAAAAATTTGTCTTTGGCCTTGAAAATGTTTGGCCTTGAAACTCGTATTCTTGGCCTTGGCCTAGTAATATGTGCCTCTCTCTCTTTCTCTCTTTCTCTCTCTCTCTCTCTCTCTCTCTCTCTCTCTCTCTCTCTCTCTATCTCTCTCTCTCTTATAATATTGCCACTGTGCAGGAGTTGTTATAAGCTGGTTGCTGCATATTTATGCCAGCTTGTTGATTATAAAGAGTTAAACATTAAGTTTTTTGCAAAAAGAAAAATTTTACCAATGCCTTACTGAATTAGCTTACACATTCCATGTGAATCTACAAACTTTGAAAAGATTTTGTTTTTTAACCTAAATTTTGAAAGGCTGGTTACATTATTTACATTATTACTTGACTCTAATAAAACATCATACTATAAACTTAAACCTTTAAATTATGGTTTTCACATTTGATTGCGACACTTTTTTTTATAGTGATAATTAATTGAAAAAAAAGTTAAAGTTATTTAATAATACATATTGGAACTAAAATTTGGAAATAAAATACATATTGGAACTAAAATTTGGAGATAGGGAATACATTTTATTCACATTTTGTTTAGGTTAACTGCTAAGTTTAACAAACATGTGCTTTATATGTATTAGCTCTTGAAATAGTACAGTCAAAATACTTTTTTAAATTTTTGTTTTAGATGCTCCTAGAAGACCTACGGTCTTGTCACAGAGCACCGCGAAAGAGTGTTTAACAAGAAAATCTACGTCTTCTTCCTTACCAATACACAGTGGGCCAGAATCCCATAATTTGGGGGAAAAAAAAATAAAATTTTTTTCTTTCATTCATAGGCCTCAAAATTTGGTATACAATGATCATTCAAATTATGATTATAATTTGAATGAGCATTGCGGTTGCCACGGCAACCCCAGTTGCATAGCAACATTTATCTATGCTTAGTTCTGAAGGGTTATTTTTAGCAAAATGTTTCTAGACTTGGTATGCAAGTTAAATTAAATTTGATGATTCTAATATGATTGAGCATAACTATTTGCTTTAATTTACAGTCACACTTTCATATAGGTACACACATTTCCAAAATTATAAAGATACAAAAGACACATATATAAACTAATATCATCTGTGGATGACCTCAATAAGTCAATAACTCCAGCTGGTAAATTTTTCGTTTTGGCTTGACTTCCTGCTGTCTTTCTCAGAGATGCAATGAATAGAGCAGATGAACATGGTAATCGATTTAACAAATCGTGGTTAGTTTTCACACGAGCAGATTTTCTTGAAAAATGTTCACGATTGTTTTGAAAGTCTTTATTGCGTGCTTCTTGAGCTTCTTCAGAATACATACCAATGGGTAATGCTAAAGTTATAATAATCTCAGAACCATGGATTAAAATTTTGTGAAGAGATTGTGGCATATAGTACCAAGGATAATGATGAACATAAAGTCAAGCTATTTTTAAACAGAAAGCCTCAAATTTATCAGTGTCACTGTCTAAACCTCATGAAATTGTTGCCAATATATTATACAAATTTAAAATCAGTCCAACATCAATATTATCAGCCCATTTCATCTTTAAATCTATTTTAAATTTATTGTTTCGCAGCCTTAACTTTAGATTTATCTTATACTGTTCTTGCCTGCCACTTTTTCAAGGTCATTTTATATCCAATATGTAATAAACATTCAAAAAAACGTATCCAAGCATGTAAGGATGATAAACCAAATGAATAACTGCCTGTCATACCCTTTTTCAAAACCATTTTTTCAATATTATTTATTGCTTTAGGACTTGTTCCTTATATATATTACAGAGTTGACTAGAATTTGTAACATCTGAAAGAGCAGTGTGAATTTTTCCATCAATCATAGTAATTTGTATCATATGATGTATTTTGATTTTTTTATTATTTATATCAACTTCAGTATCTTGCAAGTTTGAAACCTCAAGACTAATGAGATCCTCTTCTGATTTAGAGACTGCTGCCGTTTCTTTTTCCAAACGCAAAGGTCTACAGTACATTGTTGATAATGGTAGTTGATTTCGCCAAGCTGGGTACCGTTTTCCTTTTGAAAAGCCACACAAGTCCAATAGCACTAGGCAAGTAATAAAAAATGCCTACTCATTGTTTAAATTTCTTGTTACTATTCCTTGCGATATTTGTTTATATATGGACTATCCTGTGGCACCATCAAAGTCTATTTTGTATCTCAGAGAAAGTCTATTTGGAGTGCCTTCAGTGCTAAGGACACCATACTGTACCTTGCATATTCATTTTCTGTATGATCATCCAAAGCTTGCAGTTTTATTTCAGCTAAAAAGTCTGAGACAGATATATCTGCAGGATAGCATAACAGCTTTGCATCCCAAACATCATTATATAGAGTATATATAAACTCCCTTTTCAACTGCTTGATATCGAATAATTTGGTAGGAAGCTTTTGCCAATCTAGAATCTAAAATGAGGCAAAGAGCTTCATCTTTAGACATTCTACAATCTTTCCTTGAGGTTTTTTCAACTGGATTTTCTTTTCTCCGTTTAATTTCTGAAGCAAATTGTAACGCAGAAGCAGAATACATTTCAGTTAAGTGACTAACTTTATGTTTTTTGGTTTTTCGAGTAGTCATCAAAATTTGCCTTAATTGGTCTTCGAATAGGTATTGGTCTTAAAAGCCGGATGTTTAAGCTATAAAATGGTATATAACAATGTCATTTTTGAAAATACTTTTTTCGACCACCTGGCCCACTGTGCAATGGAGTGAAATATGCCCAGAGCTCGCTTCGAAGCCTGGATCTCTTGCTTCTAAAGCGCTCTAACCACTGAGCCACGGATCTCTTGCTTCTAAAGCGCTCTAACCACTGCGCCACGGCCGTTCTAGTCATATAAATTTGAATGCGTTCAATTTTTTATATTGTTAACTTTTTACTCTTAGTTCTCCATTAAGGTGTTGTACGTTAATAGTTATTTCTTTAGGTAATTTAGTTTACTATATCATAACAACTCTGTGGCCATCAGGTCGTCAACTTTTTCTAATAGTTTACTATGCTACAATGTTTAGTAATGTTTATTACTGGCGAAACCAAATTAAAGCTAAAAAAATATAACTGTAATGCCGGGGGCTGCCAAAATCACAGCCTTAGCATACAGTTGTTCACAATTTGAGAATGTTGCGAGTTCACTGGGCTAACTATAACAATTTATGACATAACCTATATTCTCAAACTTTAAAAATTTTAGTAATGATTATAATTTCCTGTACAAAAAGTTCCCATGGAAAACCCATAAAAAAACCCTGGAAAAATCATGGAATTTCAATTGGTATTTGGAACACATGGGGCATGGAGTTTCCATGAAAAAGCCACGGTTTTTCCATATAAAATTTAATGATGAACTACAAACCTTTACTATTGCTTATTTTCTATATAACGACTTTACAATGATTAGTGATCGACCGAAATTCGGTTCGATTCCGGTTCCGGATACAACTCTGACCGGATGCTACCAAAATGGATTTTCTATATATCTTAAAGCTTTGTTAAGCATTATCATTTTGATAAGATAATTTTAAAAGAAGTTTTTTAAATTAAATGATAAGCTTGAAAATTAATGGAAATAAGATTTTGCTTTGTTTGAAAACGAAATAATTTTCTTGTTTAAATTAATATTCATATCTTGTAAAGTTTTTTATCGTTATTATTTGAAAGGTAATATTGTTGCTATGGGTATAACTTTTATATAATGTCCAATTGGACAACTACTTCAATTGGACAACAATTTCAACACTATAATTTTCTTAAGAGAATTGTAGTGTTAAAATCGTTAATATTCGTCCAAAGAGAGCTTATTGTTAATTATTGTCCAAAGGGAATTTTTGTGTAGCAATCATTACAATAAATATTGGAAATACAAAAAACTTGTCAATTTTATTTTTAACATTTGTATTTGAAGTTAACCAGCAACATTAAAAAATCGTTTTATATTAAATTCTAACAAAATGATTTTAAAAAAAAAAAAGTTTAGCATGGAAATACTTCATAATTGAAGCAAACAATCCAAGAATAGTTAAGTACAAAATATGCAACGGCAAAGTTTCAAGAGGATCATTTGCTCTCAAGGAAAAGTTGGTTTAATCAGTAGCTGAAAGTGTGTCAGTCTGTCTTGATGCATGGTCATCATTTCATCATGACTACCTGGGGATGACGGTTCACTTTATTTCCAAAGATTGGAACCGTGTCAAATTCCGCATCTTATTCTCAATTTAATGAAAAGCATACCGCAAAAAACATTTTCAACAAGATTGAAACAACAGCAAAGGAGTGGAAAATTTCTTCAAAAATTAAAGTTTGCGCAAAAACAATGTAGCAAATGTAAAGGCAGCCTTTAATGAACCAATCTGTAATTATGTTTTAGCTGGATGCCTTAACCACTCCCTTCAACTTGTCATCAACAAAGAACTATTTTCACATCCAATCATAGAATGATTGCAAAAAGTCAAAAACTTTGTTCTAACGCATTCCATTCTACTGCTTTCTACACTGAACTTTACATTCGGCAAGAAATTCAAATGGATACAAAAGTCAGACTTGGCTTAAAAAACGATGTTGCCACAAGATGGAACTCTACCTATTATATGATTGAGCAAACTTTACACCTGAAGCCAGCCTTTACTGCTACCTTAATCAAATTTCCTTCAGTAGAAATTTGATTTTCTGTCCAAGATTGGAGCCTCTGTG